GTTGTTCCATAAGAGTGTGATGATAGTGGTAAGCTCTTTATTTGTTTGTTTGTATTCTTCTTTATGTTCGTTTGCGTACTTTTTACCCTGCTAACTACAAAGGACTTGCTCCGGAAATATGATCCTTTTCTCTTGTATAGGTTGCACGCGGTGATAAAAGTGGAGAAGATGGCATTCCTATGCTACTGAAAATTCCACGGATGTTTGATCCTTGGGGTGGCTACAGTATCATCGGGTTTGGTGACATAATTTTACCAGGTTTACTGGTAGCATTTTCCTTAAGGTTTGACCATGGAGCTGAATGAAACTTGTATTTGCTCTCCATTAATATGGTTCCATCAAGTCCTATATTTCTTGAAGACTTCAATTTTTTTCAGTATACTATTATTCCATTCTCCAAAAAGAGCCTGTTCAAAGCATTGGCTCTAACACATTTGACGGAAGGAATTGACCCCCCTATTGATGCCTCTGTGAGACTCATTGTTGCATAATTAAATGCTTCCATGTCGGACACTTCTGCTTCTTCAGATGAGCAATTTAAGTAAATTTTAAGATTAACCTGGTGATATAATCTAGGTGCGCTCAATTTGGCCTGGACACTACCATTAACAGAAAAAAGAAAGAAAGTTAATCTTAAGATTAAAAGGAAAGGTTGAATGTTAGGTTATCATTTAAATGGTGAATGCTTGCAAGTTCTAACAATTATAGCAGTCAAAAGCTTTGTACCTCTTTTTTAGATTTTTTTCCCCCATAGTTTTTGTGCTTTGTCGCAGGTATGACTGGCTGTGTAATAAGAAACTTCGAGAAGGCTACTTCCTTTGGGCTATGTTTGCTTACGGCTTAGGTATGATGAGTTCTTCAGAAAATGGGAATAAGCTTATTTACTTGACATGTTATTTTGATTGTGACCAAGTGAATACCGTGTTCTTGTTGTTGATAGAATTGCACTGCTGTTGGTGTTTTTGTATGTTTCATCTCTCTCCCTCTTTCTGTTCAGTCAGAAATAGCCTGGACTGTTCCACATAATTGTGCAACTTGATCCTGGTTAAGTGATGAACTGCAGTAATGATGCTTAGTTCTGCCCTTATTCCTACTAATAATGAATAATTCGAGAACAAATAATATGTCAGAGTGTAGGAAAATTTGAGGGGTGCTATTCTTGTTAGTGTTTGAGCTAGATATGTATCTCTTTCACCATGTCAAGGGAAGTTGCTATATTTTATGCAAACAGCCGAAATATCGTATATAATGTATTAGAAGCATCCGGTTGGTACTGTTGGTCAGTGTTTTTGAAGGTGTGGAACTAGCGCAAGCTTCTGTTTGACTGTTAATTCTTTTTTTTTTTTACAGGTTTGCTCACGACATATGTGGCTCTAAATTTGATGGATGGTCATGGTCAACCTGCTTTGCTTTACATTGTTCCATTTACACTAGGTATGCTACAAGAAGCATAAAAAAAGCTTTTGTAATGAAGCAGCCAAACCTATAACATCTTATTGTAACGATAGATTCTACCACCGCACACTAGAATCTACCACCACTAACACACATAGGGTGATTCTCATGGAAAAGAAGTAAGAATTAAATGTTGAGTCTGAGAACCTTAGTTTTCAATTTTCTGCAAATTGGATTCTGATTTCCCTTTTACCTTTTTTTTTAAAATTAAAAGTTTATGAATGAAAAGAAGAGGCATTAAGAGAGAAGAATGAGGAATTCAGGGGAGAGACTACAACTTTGGTTTTGGCTCTAATACCATATAAAGAAAGAGGACATTGGACCTAATTCAACCCCAAAAGTTAGCTGATGAGATGATTGCCCAAAATCAGATGAAACGGGACAATAGTTTGCACTAACATTCTGGGAAAAAAGGAAATTTGAGAGAGGTAGTTAAAGATGATACAGATGGCTTTCCTCTCCAATCTTCAAAGACAAGTAGATGCGCCAAAGTGCAATATGTGTAACTGTAGCAGGCAAATAAGGAAGAACCTAAAGTATAAGAAGATAATTTCACGGTTGTCTCACCTACTATTCATAAGTTCTCCATGCAGCCTTGCCTTTCTTCCTTGCACTCCTTGTGGGCATTTCTTCAGAACTTAACCGAAAATTTCCCATATTGTTCCCTTTCCTCTTTCAATATTTTAGGTAAACAAGAAAAAGCTTTTCATTTTATACGTCGAGTGCTTATCATTTTTAACATCTGTTATTGCTCATGTTAGGCACATTTTTGACGGTGGGAAAGCAAAGAGGTGATCTCAAGCACCTATGGACAAGAGGAGAACCAGATAGGCCTTGCCCGCATGTCCGGCTTCAACCAGAGTAACTAGATAGTAACGAGGCATCGATCCATAATCACCTATAACTCTGATACCTCCAAATACAAGTTGGCGTATACAAGAGTAAAATTTGTACCAGAGGGTGGAGTTCTGAAGATTGCAGGATACTTAAGTAGGCTGCCCTTCAAGTAGAGACTCTGAGATGTAGAGCCTGTAGATTAAGTAGGAGTTTGGCAAGACATGTGTACTGCCTGTGCACCTCACCTTGTAGTTTGACAAGCAAATCCGTCACCATCAGGCAGTAGCTGTAATAGAATAGCTTCTTTGGAGGGAAACCAGTGTGCAGTAGTTTCATCTATAGTAGGAAAGACACAACTTTTGTATGATAGAACTTGCTTTAGCTGACATTATGCAACTTCAAAATATTGGATTGGATGTACCAACTCTGTGAACAGCTGGTGTTATTTACTCATATTATGGTTTTGTTTCTTTGAGCAGAAATCAGTTTATTTGGACCAATATTTCTTACAAGACTATCATTTGGTAAGTGTTGCCAAAGTTTACACTAGTGTTCAGTCTAATATGTTACTGATAATCAATGCATTAATTAAAGCTGACACTACATAGCAAATATACAGGAGAAACGAACCCATGTTAGATGTACAGAAGAAACAAACCCATTATTAAAAAGAAGAAGAGACGTCACAATTTAGATATTCTTCTTGTTGCTACGTCAAGCAGTGGTATGTATTTATATTTAATATCAAGACTTAAGAGGTGGTCAACCACTTGATACACACACGTTCTCTCTATTTTCTTTTCTTTTATTGTCCTCTTCTGTAATTGACTAACACATGTCCGAGCGAAAACCACACATATTTATACTACAATAATGTTAGTATTGTTTACAGTAATCCACTGCGGGGTACACTAAAAAATGATATTTGAAAAATCAAGAATATACGTACTTGAAAATTTTCTCAAAACTATTTATTGTAATGAAGGAGTTATATGCAAAGTAAACAACGAGGGGGAGAATTGAACCAAATTAGACATTTAAAAGTTGTTACCATACAAATTGTAATCAACGGCAAGATAACCAATCATCACCAATGAGTTGCCAAAGGCCCCAAAGCTCAAAGGCAATAATGTGCGACCGTTGGGTTGAATTTCGTGACATACTTTTGAATAACTTTTTCCAACGTTTAGAAACCCGCTTTATTAATTTCAAGTTCCCATTCAAGTATCCTTTTGCTTTTCCACTACATATTAATTTTTGGTTACCGGGATTAAGATACTAATTTTGACATAAAATTTTGGATTACATTTATTCCGTATTTACTTGTTAATACTAGTTAAAAACAATATAAATTTTATACCAAAATCTTGGTGTTATTTATTCCATATAGGATGTGGGTTATAATCTCAAATATCTTAGTTCCGAACAAAATGAACCTATAGAGAAAGTAAGAAAGTAAAGAGCTTCTTTTAGGAGGTAACATTACACTTAATTGATGTTAGATTAAATTGCTAACATTAAGCTGCAACTGGATATAGATGCAAGTTTTGACGGCCTTTTATTAACTTTGAATTATATATTTGTAAAAGCTCACTCTCACTGCTACAAAAGGGAAACACTACACCAATTGGTTTTAAAATTGTGAATCAGCTTCTGACTGTATATTCTCCAAAGACCACTCTATGTTATTTATTTGTTTAAATTAAGGTATTGGCCATCATATACAAATTTGTGAAATGGCCATTTAACGGATTAAAGCTTTATAAAAAGCAGAGAAAGGTGTCTGCAAAATGAGTATGACAGCACATCTTCCTCCTGTCCTGACTCCTGACCCCTTCCCTTTTTCATAGTTTCCTCTTTATCACACAAAACAAAAGCAAAAAAGAAAAAGAGACAGATATACTTGAGTATGAAAAGAAAAACTTACCTAAAACTTCCTTAATTCTTTTCTTTCTTTCTCTTATTGTCCATTTCTTTTTTCACAGTTTACTCCACCCTTTTATTCCTTGTTTTACCAGCTAAGCATTTGCTTATATGGTGTTCCAAGTCCTGAATTTTCTCATACGGCTCAACACTCATCATATTGCTTGAAAGTAAAATCGGCAAAAAATTGATTCTCTAAGCAATTACTTCTCTTTTCTATTTATGTCCTCATTAGAGTTAATTTTTTTCCAAATGCATATCCCTTTCACACACTATATAATTTAATTCATGTAATTCAAAGATGATTCTATATTTTCACTTCACAAAAAAAAAAAAAAAAAATTGTCACCATTTTGGCTTACTTGCATTGAAAGTTCTTACTATTAAGCAAAACATGTAGTCCAACTTAGTAATGAGAGTTTGCTCTAACGTAAATTTGTATTGTGCATTAAAAAGTTTAAGCATGAAAATAAGTATATATTTTATTGGCATGAAGAATATATTTTATTTTTTCGGCTGCTGCACTAACTAATTGATAAATTATAACCTTGCTTGACAAAGAAATAACTTTATTTAAAAAAATAATTGTTAAATTGAACTACAACGAAATGATTCTAGATGCTTAAACTTAATTATGAAAATTCGTCAATTTCTCATTTATTGGATACATACAAGACTACAATATAGGAAACTTCAAGGGGCACAAATGGAAATCAAACAAACATAGAGACGCTAATGCAAATATGCAATATTTATCAGCAATTTTCCCTCTATAAAAGAATCAGTATCATCACAAAACAAAGAAAAAGCAAAAGCTGCATTCTGTTGCATTCTATTGAAGAAACCTGTAAGCTAAGAATGGAGGGGAAAGAAGAGGATGTGAAGGTAGGAGCAAACAAGTATTCAGAAAGGCAGCCATTAGGGACCTCAGCACAGAGCAAAGACTATAAGGAACCACCAGCAGCACCATTGTTTGAGCCTGGTGAGCTCCATTCTTGGTCCTTTTGGAGAGCTGGGATTGCTGAGTTTATGGCTACTTTCTTGTTCCTTTACATCACTGTCTTGACTGTCATGGGCTACTCTAGGGCTAACAGCAAATGTAGTACCGTTGGTGTTCAAGGCATTGCTTGGGCTTTTGGTGGTATGATTTTTGCCCTTGTTTACTGCACTGCTGGCATCTCAGGTATATATATATATATATTTCTATCTCTCTCTTTCTTTACCTCCATAATTTATGTACTAGTCACCTAAAGTTGTGCTTTTTGCTTCAAAGCTACACTTTCTCTCATGTTCATTAGTGATATATATTTTGCTTCAAAGATGAGATCTTTAATGTGTTTTCTTGATAAATGAAGAAGTAAAACCTTTAAAGTTGCAGTCTTTGACAGTTACTGAGTTTCTTATTTTGAACTACTTCTCTGGAGTTTCATAATACATCAAAATTGTAACAGTTTCCTTTTGGACATTTTGGAGCAGAATAACTTTTTTAGTGGTTATCTTTTATTTGCAATGTTCTTATGGGATTTTTTTGGCTATACTAATAGCATTTCCTGCTAGAGCTGGATTAAACTCCAAGCAGCATCTTAGTGAAAGATGCCAGATCCTCTGCAGAATTGGTTTTTAGAATGTGTTTCGGTGCTATGATGTGTAAAAATATTTACAAAATCTGGTTACTTATAAGGTAGTAAATCTCTACAATTTTCGCACTTCTCAAATAGCTCCGTATTCCTATATTCTTTGCTATTACATGCTGTGTTATTTGTTTATGTTATCTTATTTCCTTGCTATTGTTACTGTTTGTTTATTGTGTCCTTTTCACTGTTCTTAAGCCGAATGTCTATCCGAAACAACTCTTCCTTCATAAGGTTTAGGTAAGGTCTGCGTACATGTTAACCCCCAAGACCTCACGTGCGGGATTTCACTGGGTTTGTTGGTGTATGGTAAAAATGGTATCTAACCTGCTTTCACATGTTAAAAACTACACTGATAGTGTTAGAAATCATTACAGTATATAACTTAAATTGTTTTAATTTTGTTATTTGTTCTCTGACCTTGAGAAATTCTTGATTTTTGATCAGGTGGACACATTAACCCTGCTGTGACATTTGGTCTGTTTCTGGCAAGGAAATTGTCCCTAACCAGGGCAGTTTTCTACATTGTGATGCAATGCCTTGGTGCAATCTGTGGTGCTGGTGTTGTCAAAGGGTTCCAGCCATCTTTGTATCAGGTTAAGGGTGGAGGTGCTAACATTATGAACCATGGTTACACCAAAGGAGATGGGCTTGGTGCTGAGATTGTTGGCACTTTTGTTCTTGTCTACACTGTCTTCTCTGCTACTGATGCCAAGAGAAATGCCAGAGACTCCCATGTCCCTGTGAGTACTTACTTGGCTTCTCATTTGTACTTTAGATTTTACTGTTGAGCTTAATGTATATGTATTCTAGCTCATGGTTGTGTATTACAGATTTTGGCACCACTCCCAATTGGATTTGCAGTGTTCTTGGTTCACTTAGCCACTATCCCAATCACAGGCACTGGCATTAACCCTGCTAGAAGCCTAGGTGCTGCCATTATCTACAACAGAGATCAAGCATGGGATGACCATGTAAGTTATCTTTTATGCATGAATGGATTTAGTATGAGGACAATCAGTGGGATGCACCCACTATCCTTGAATTCAATTGTACATTAAATTGAATAATTTTTTAAAAAATGGACCCAAACTTGAGGATATATGAAAATGAGGATTCATGCAACCGACCCAACAACTTGAAATTGAGGCTTAGTTGTTGTATAGTTATTACTAAATCCTCACCACTTATCGTAGTAATAGTAATATTGAATGAAACAAAAAACATGAGATGAATTTTCTCGGCTGCTTAAGCTTTGGTGAGCAAAATCATCTTGTACCTTTGTTGGTGGGAAGTAGCTGGTAGAGACGGATCCAGGATTTTAATTCTATGAGTTCAAGATTTTGACTTCAACCACTGACCTATCAACTTGTTTGAGTTATGGGTTTATAGCTCATTTTTCAGCAATTTTAAAGAATTTTATACTGAAAATCTAGATTTAAGATATAAGTTATGGGTTCAATTGAACTATAACTAAATTGTTGGATTCATCCCTTGGTCATCACGTTAGCTGAACATACATATAGTGAATACGTTAGCACCCATTATCTTAAAATCTTAGATCCGTTTCTCTTTTTAAGAGCTACGAATTATTTTTAAAAAAAATTGTTCATTGTTGTTTTGGTTTTATGAGTAACTAGAATTTTCTCTTTTTTTCCTGGTTTTGAATAAATGCAGTGGATTTTCTGGGTGGGACCATTCATTGGAGCTGCACTTGCTGCTTTGTACCATCAGGTTATCATAAGAGCTATTCCATTCAGGAGTGGAAACTGAGAAACACCTTGGTTATTTATCATAAGAGCCTGTGTCTTGTTTCTGTCATTGGTTACTTTGCTATGATTGACAATGATGTTCAATGTTGATTATGTACAAAAACTGTTGTATTGCTTTATTTATCGTATTTGGTTTTGAATTCATCTTATTTATTTTAGCATCTGTTTTAGCGTTATTGCCTTATTATCTCTGCAACCCTTTTTTGTTTAGAGCTAATTTTCTACCTACTGGCGGTTTAAAAAGTATTTTCACAATCAAAACCTATAAAATCTCTATGAAAAGCATTAGTTGAAGTAACTTGGTAAAAATGATAGTAATTGACTTGCTAATTTTGCAATGTCAAGTACTCCCTCCGTCTCATGTTAACAGTCGTGTTACTAAAAATACTTGTCTCAAATTATTTGTCATTCTAGAAGTTCAAGACAAAATTGATTATTTTTTTCTTTTTTTTACCCTTAGTAATAATTGTTTTTAAAGATGGAGATAACACATAAATAGAATAAACATTCAATGAAGAGAGATTATACCTTAAGATATAAATAAAGGTAGAATAGTCCAATCACTTTCCTAATTAATATTTCTTAAGGGGCATGTAAAAGAGAAACACGACACATAATATTGGTAAAAATTGCATGGGGTGCCCTATTTGGTCGCCCCTTTTAAACTTATATCCGTTTTTGTTTTTCTATTTGCATCCGTACCCATTTTTTTTGTTAAAAGCATTTTAAGATGACGATTTTGCCCTTCTTTAATAAAAAGACGATTTTGCCCTTTTTGTTATGATGTTTTTTAGCAAATGAACTAAATAATTTCAGCATGCATTAGAAAAAACTAATTAGAAAAATATATACCGCAAGACAAAAACTTAAAAATATTTAGTCTGAAATTTTAGCAAATGAACTAAAAAACTTCAGCTTGTTAAGACTGAAGTTTCGGATAAAACTCATGACAAAACCGTAGACTGCATGACAAAACTTCAGCATATTTTGGTATTAAGTTTTAACAAATGAACTAAATAATTTCAGTATGCATTAACAAAAGCTCATTAGAAAATTACATACTGCAAGACAAAAACTTAAGCATGTTTAGTATGAAATTTTAGCAAATGAACTAAATAACTTCAGCATGCATTAGCAAAAACTCATTAGAAATTACATACTGCAAGACAAAAACTTAAGCATGTTTAGTCTGAAATTTTAGCAAATAAACTAAAAAACTTAAGCATGTTTAGTCTGAAGATTTATCAAATGAACTAAATAACTTAAGCATGTTTAGTCTGAAATTTTAGCAAATGAACTAAATAACTTAAGCATGTTTAGTCTGAAGTTTTAGCAAATGAACTAAAAAACTTAAGCATGTTTAGTTTGAAATTTTAGCAAATGAACTAAATAACTTCAGCATGTTTAGTATGAAGTTTTAGCAAATGAACTAAATAACTTAAGCATGTTTAGTTTGAAGTTTTAGCAAATGAACTAAAAAACTTAAGCATGTTTAGTCTGAAGTTATAGCAAATGAACTAAATAACTTCAGCATGTTTAGGCTGAAGTTTCGGATAAAACTCATGACAAAACTGTAGACTGCAGGATAAATAACTTCAGCATGTTTAGGCTGAAGTTTCGGATAAAACTCATGACAAAACTGTAGACTGCAGGATAAATAACTTCAGCATGCAATAGTATGAAGTTTTAGTTTTAATGTGAAACAACTTCAAGCTATATTAGCATGGAGTTTTAACTTCAACATGAAATATTAGCATGAAGTTTTAGCTTCAAGGTGAAACAACTTCATGCAAGTGTGATTCTGAAAATGAATCTGGACAAGTTTTTGGTTTTTTGATAAAACTGTTGAGAGGAGAAGAGGAGATATTTTTTCACGAATGAGGTTGCAGATCACGCGATTAATGCGTGATTCAGGTTTTATATCTTTTGTCAGGGGTGAAATTGTCATATTATAACGGATTTTTTGTGAGCAAGCTATCAAATTAATAATTTTTAAAAATAGGGTACAAGTTAAAAGATGGCACAAATATAGAATATGATTGCAAATTTTCCATTTTATTGTATATAATGTAGCACGTTTTTAAATGTTCAAAACTTGGAAGGTATCATTTTGGTGGGCTAAAGCAAACGTGGCCCAATGTTTAAGCTGGAACTAGATTGGAGCGTGTTAAAGGAGCCCAAAGCTTCTCTCTTTTAGCTAGGACCAGACTCGAGATTCAAATTAAAGTTAAGGAATTTTCACAAACCACTATTGTTTAGTGTCTATTAACTTTCTATTGCTATCATATACATAATTACTTTCTATAGCTACTATTCAGTTGTTACGGTAGTGTATTCGCTGTATTCGCGCTGCTGTATTCATGAATACACCAAAAAGCGCCTAAAATCAGGACAATCCAGTTGTACACGCATATATTCGCGCCATGTATTCATGAATATAGTAACGACAAATCACCTTAAAAATAGGTATGTCTAGTTGTCTAATAACAGAAATAATATCAATTAGCGTGATACTCTCTTAATATAACTCAATAAAATCAATTCTAACATACCTCACTATCAACCCAACTAATTAGAATTATTTTTCAGTTGTATATAACTGCAGTATTTAACTTTTGTATGTAGTGTGTTTCAATATTTTTTTTTTATTGTTGCATTCATCAGATTTAATGTTTGTATTTACTGTATTCGCTATTTTATATTCAGTGTATTCAAAGGTATTTGTATTAACAGTATTTTTGTTATTCCTAATACTCCTTCCGTTTCAATTTATGTGAACATATTTCCTTTTTAGTACGTGCCAAAAAGAATTGCCACTTTCCCTATTTGAAAATAATTTATCTTTATAAAATGATTTATCGTCACACAAAATATATGTGCCTCGCTTTATACCACAAATTCAAAAGTCTTCTCTCTTTTCTTAAACTCCATGCCCAGTCAAATGAGTTCACATAAGTTGAAACGGAGGGAGTACATGTTATTACTGATGTATTCAGTATATTTCATTGGTTGTATTCACTGTATTTCTATTTGTATTCAACGTATCTTACTGTATTTTACTGTATTTTAAAATTAAATGTATTCACTGTTTAAATTCTGTTCTATTTTAATGTTTGGATTAAGTGTATTTCAATGTTTATATCATGTATTCATGCATATTGTATGTACACTATGCATGAATACAAGTGTATCCAGCTGTATTAAAAAAATACAAATCTTCGAAATACATAAATACATGCAAAAAAAAGGTATTTATATAAAAATACAATGTGTTTGAGTGAATTTGTACAGAATACAATGTATTTGTATCATTGTATGTGACTATATAGCAAAGAAGAGAAGAAAGTTCTCGGATCCGTACAACAAATTTATGATAAGAGTTCATCACATTGCTCCTTTCCGTTCGAAAAATTCACTTTTTTCTGTTTCCTGGCTGCCTTCTACTCTATTCTAATATCTCATCGGCCATCAATACTAGGGCGTGTATCTTGAGTTGCTCGAAGAGAGAGAGAGATTCTTCTTTCTCGTCGGCCATCAATACTAGGGCTTGAGTTGTTCAAAGAGAGAGAGAAAGAAGAAAAAATTTGAGTGAGAATCTTGTGTTAATTGAAAGAAATAGAGAGAAAAAACATAAATAGCGTATTGCATGCCTCAATTGTAGTATGTACCATAAATACCTTTTTTGCTATAAAATATAAAAGGTAGCTATAGAAAATAATATTTTAAAATAATTTTGATTTATAATAAATAGGGTGTATACCTTTACTATAGGAGGTAAAATTTCCATTAAAGAATACCTAAATTATTTACATAGCCACACAAGCACAATATAATAGCTCCAAACCCATTTATTTATCATAAAAGTTGAAATCAAACTCGAGAAAATTTTGTATGATGTAAGTTGCTGAGAGATTAATTATAAGATCAAGATTGAGGTTTAACTAGTTAATTTACTTTTTTTTTTAAGCAAACGTTTTAAACTCAACCATGATTTGAAGCTTGTTAAATATTCAAGTTGGATCAACTTGACTTGCGTGTGAATTTGAAGGGGAAAAAAATACGTTAAGAAAATACACTTCGTGGGATTCATGGACCGTGGTATATAACTAGAGACTAAAGGTTGAACCAAGAATGAAATTGCATTATAAAATCTCAATTGAACGTTCTTCAGTTGCATAACACGAAACCTATTAGGCTCAAAGTTTCATGAAAAGTAACAAAAGTCCATGCACCTCTAAATTAAATTCCATTTCACACTAAAGAGTAAAATTCCTTGTACTTCACACCTCAAAGAATTTGCAAAACCACTAGGAGGAGTAAAATCTTTAGTCATTTACAATTGCAGCCTTCAAAAATTGGACCCATCTATAGATATACCTACCGTACAGTTACTTTAAATTTAAATGTTAAATGTTACGTACCTCATCGGATTTGAATCTTTAAAATTTTAGATTTAGATTTAATATTTTATTAAAATTTTAATGGGTTTCGCATATATATATATATATATTTCGTGTCGAAAATATTGAGTACCCATAAATTCATCGCTGAAAGGGCTAGATCCACCCTCTGTAACCATGGACAATCCATTTTTTCAGCAACATTTAGTGTACTCGTTGTCTTTGAAGACACTAAATGCAATTCGATTCTGACACATGAATTATTAATATAATGTAGTAAAACTTCGCACCCACTGATTAATAATTTTGAAGCTGTCTTTTTTATTATATCTTTATCTGTAAAGAAGTTGAAAGAAAGACGAGAATAAATAAAATTATGAATAAGAATAGAGGAGGATGAGAGCTGAAGTGGATTAGTGGAGGAGGCAAATGGCATATAGGTGGAAGTTGGTGGAGGTGGGAAGCTGCTGCATCCATATAATATAGAGTATCCAAAGTCAAAAACCCAAAATATACCTTTGATCTAATAATTATATATTTTTTTTGGTTTTCCACCCATGTTTCAGTATTCACATTTGAATTCAATTAAATACGAATTTTTACGGGAAAGTTCCATATTAGGGTATAAAATGGTTCATAATAAAGACAATTTTATAACTAAAACATAAATCTGAAATCTCTAATTAAGAATAATAAAGTATTATCACAATCGTTATTGGTGGTGCATCTAATAAATGACTCGTACAATA